GGTCACAATGCAGATTTTCTATTGCTAAGACATCATGTGAAATGGTCAAGTACAGCACACAATTTGTGTAGTCTTTTGCCATCTACATCCAAAAAGGCTGTTAAGCATAAGGCAAAAATGCTTATTTAGCCATAAAACAGCCAGGAAATTGATTTAGCAATAATTCAACTGCAGCAAAACATCAAGTGGAACCTATTTTAACACACTCAAACACATAAACCTATGAACTCAACCAAGTAATTCAAAATCTATTACTGGTTTTACATGTTCCCGCAAAAATGGGACAAGCACTCCTAACTGATATTGTGTGTGTTTACCTTAACAGGGATGGTGTTTTCATTGTATCACTACAAACACACTATAAGCCTAGGTTCACATCTGTGCGGGTGGTGCCGCTGCGGATCCGCACGAAAATCCGTGCAGCCACACCACCCGTACAGAGAAATGCGGACCCGCGGGCAGGTGCCATTAGTTCTAATGGCATGCCGCCCGCACTGGAAAACGCAACCATACTGGGAACCGAGGTTCCCGTGCAGGCTGCATTTTCCAAAGAAGTGCCTCTTTCCCTGTATGTCAAGGGCACGGGAGTCCAAATGAATGGGCTCTCATGCCCGTTCTAAATGTGACCCGCACGGCCGCATAGATGTGAACCAGGGGTAAAGTAGAATGAAATCGCATAAAAGCACAAATTATTCATTATCCCATTCTTCCTGAACTGTCAAAGATCCACATAAAGATCTTGTACTTTGTGTCAAAGTGTCTAAGAACCTCTCCGCCTATTTAAAATTGAATCTTAGACTGTTGCTACATGCATTCAAACAGAAATGTACTAGTTAGTAGTCGTTTGTAGGTAGAACTTAATAAAAATGTCATGGGCCCCACACAGTTGCTATTTACATTACACAATGCCCCGGTTTAAAATGTATAGATACTATTTCAGGATCTTACTTGAGAAAAATGTTGCTTTAGGATTAAATTGGGCTATCTACAATATCCCCATGACTCAGGAGGTTTGGACACCTCCAACACTAGGCTTTTTTATATAGTATTAAAACTTCTATATATGGCAGGATGGGGAATTCCTGATTGTTCCAACCATATAAAGAAAAAAACACATGCTTCATTATCTCTGTCCTTTAGTTTCCAGCCTGTACTCACCTTACAGATGCAAGATACTATAAGACAGAAGGAAAAATCTATTTTGCACTATGATGAATAATCCAAATTTTAACCCCTTTTGGGTAATATTACTCCGAACTTATAAAATAAGGGTTCAAACCCTTAAAATTTTACATCAACTACAGTATATGGGTTATAATTTCAAAACTTATAGGGTGAGTATGGATTTCCAAGGCAACAATTTAACCAACATTACAATCCATATGTTTACAATTCTTTCCACTTGAGGGACCAGGAACTATGGTAAGCGGTTTGGTTGCCTGCCTACAGAAAAGATGGAGGAACATCTGTTCACCCCTCTTCTGTGTGACACATGAAACCGGAAGCAACAAGGATTTCATTACTTCCAGTTTCAGTGCGGTCATTCCCTCACCATTACAGCCAGGGATCAGCTGACCTAAAGAGCAGAGGAGAGATCAGGGGTTTGATAGAATACCCGTTGCAGCACAAAGCTATCCCAAGGGGAACTTATTCATTTTTGATAGCAAAAAAATTAAAATGAGAGGTAAAAAAAAAAAAAAGACCAAAACAAAAAACACCTTAAAAGCACCCCCTTCCCTCCATGATCACATGCAAAAGGCGCACATAGGTCTGGCACGCATATATAAATGGCGATTGCACCACACGCATATGAGGTGTCCCTGCGAACAAAGTGAACAATTTTCTAGTGCCATAGATCACTGAATTTTAAACTGATAACTTGCAAAGAGCGTCCCCTATAGACAATTTTAGGTACCATAGTTTGTTGCCATTCCCCAAGCGTATGCAATTTCAAATGACATATTTGGTATCTATTTACTTGATGTAGCGTCATATCCTGAAAATTTGCATTTGATAGACAGCTGTGCAAATATCGCATTACATAAAAAATTGCAACAGCCACCATTTTATTCCCCAGGACCCCCGTTTCAGAAAATATATAATGTTTGGGGGTTATAAAACAAAAAAAAAAAAAATTTTAATATGTACATGAAAAATTGGTTATACTGCCCATATTGACAATTACCAGACTCCTATTTCTGACCTGAAAACTGATCAGCCAGAAGTGGACTTGACTCAAACAACATATATATATATATATATATATATATATATATATATATATTATATATATATATATATATATATATATATATATATATGCGCGCGCGGCAGCGCTGGGCATAGAGATTAGTGAAGGAAAGATGGCCTCCATTCATCTCTATGCCCTTGGAGGACCGGAGCGATGTCACTTCCGGTTCAAGCCATTATTATTATTATTATTTTTTTTTTTTTAATAAAAAGCACTAGATCAATGCTTTTTTTGATCTAATGCTTTACATTGCAGAAGAGAGATGTGGGGTCTTATTGACCCCATATCTCTCAATAAAGGGGACCTGTCACTAATTATTTCTATCACAAGGGATGCATGCATTTTTTTTTAAATTTAAAGTGCCTCCGTCCCCCAACGCTCGTACGTAGTGGTGAACGCACACATAGGCCATGCCCACATATGTAAACGGTGTTCAAACCACACACGTGAGGTATTGCCACGAACGTCAGAGCAACAGCAGTAATTCTCACACTAGACCTCCTCTGTAACTTTACACTACTAACCTGTAGAAATTTTTAAAGCATCACCCATGGAGATTTTTAAGTACCGCAGTTTAAAGCCATTTCACGAGCGTGCGCAATTATAAAGTGTGAAATGTTGGGTGTCTATTTACTCACCGTAACATTCTCTTTCATATTTTACAAAAAAAAAATTAAGGTATATATTGTGTATAACAGCGCATTTCATTTTTCAGATAAGTGCATTTTGAATTCTTGGTTTCGGCACCAGAATTTTCATTATGGTGCACCACTAATTTTTATATACATATATATACACATACATACATACATACACACACACACACACACACACACATTTTATTTATATCTCTCTCTCACTATATTGCCAAAAGTATTGGGACGCCTGCTTTTACACGCACATGAACTTTAATGAAATCCCAGTCTAATCCGTAGGGTTCAATATTGAGTTGGCCCACCCTTTGCAGCTAGATCAGCTTGAACTCTTCTGGGAAGGCTGTCCACAAGGTTTAGGAGTGTGTCTATTGGAATGTTTGACTATTCTTCCAGAAGAGCATTTGTGAGGTCAGGCACTGATGTTGGACCAGAAGGCCTGGCTCTCACTCTCCGCTCTAATTCATCCCAAAAGTGTTCTATCTGGTTGTCTTTATGGACCTTGCTTTGTGCACTGGTGCGCAGTCATATTTGAACAGGAAGGGGCCATCCCCAAACTTTCCCACAAAGTTTGGAGAATGAAATTGTCTAAAATGTCTTCGTATGCTGACGTCTTAAGGGTTCCCTTCACTGAAACTAAGGGGCCAAGCTCAACCCCTGAAAAACAAACCCACACCATAATCCCCCCTCCAACTTTACACTTGGCACAATGCAGTCAGAGAAGAACTGATCTCCTGGTAACTGCCAAACCCAGACACATCCATTGGATTGCCAGACAGAGAAGCATAATTCATCACTCCAGAGAACACGTCTCCACTGCTCTAGAGTCCAGAGTCCAGTGGCAGCGTGCTTTACGCCACTGCATCCGACGCTTTGCATTGCATTTGGTGAAGTAAGGCTTGGATGCAGCTGCTCGGTCATGGAAACCCATTACACGAAGCTCTCTATGCACTGTTGTTCTGCTAATCTGCCACATGAAGTTTGGAGGTCTTTAGCTATTGACTCTGCAGACAGTTGGACACTGTGTGCTTCATCATGCGCTGACCCCACTCTGTCATGTTACGTGGCCTACCACTTCTTCATAGCCGAGTTGCTGTTGTTCCCAGTTGCTTCCACTTTGTTATAATACCACTAACAGTTGATCGTGGAATATTTAGTAGCAAGGAAATTTCACGGATGAACTTATTGCACAGGTGGCAACCTATCACGGTACCACGCTTGAATTCACTGAGCTCCTGAGAGCGACCCATTCTTTCACAAATGTTTGTAGAAGCAGTCTACATGCCTAGGTGCTTGTTTTCATACATCTGTGGCCAAGAAGGTGATTGGAACACCTAAATCCAATGATTTGGAGGGGGTGTCTCAAAACGTTTGGTACACACACACACACACACACACACAAGTACCTCGGTTTACAAATTTAATTCATTCTGCAGGACTTTTCGCATTGCGAAAAATTTGTAAACCAAAACGCAATCTCCCATAGGATTGCACTGAAAACCAATTAATCCATTCCGGAGGTCAGAAAAAAGTAAAAAAAAAAAAAAAAAAGTCTTATCTGTTCAAAAAACTCTATAAAACCATAGTACACAGAGACATGAAAGAAAAAAAAAAAGTGTGTGTAAGAGTGTGAGTGTGTGTGTGTGTGTGTACACATATGGGGCATCCAAAAAGTTGAAAATGGCACAGCAGACCACCCTCGGAGTTCCAGGAGACCATTGACTTTGCTCGCTGATGGAATATGAGCTTTTTTTTTTTTTTTCCTTCCACTTTCTCCATTTTTAAAAACTCGACTGCGAATGGTGACAACTGTTTGCAAGGAGCGCACAAAAGACCATATAGTGCGCATACAACATTTTCAGCGTCGAACATCTGGAAGAGTGGCTTGGTGTGGTGATAAAGCTTCATGTCTGTGGACTCTTTCCGTGTTGGGATGTTAACTTTTGGGATACACCCCCCCCCCCCCCCCCCCCCCGTATAATACATAAATACATATTACATGCAGATGTCACTTTTTTTTTTATACTAAAACATGCCTTACATGCAGACACAGCCAAAAAAAAAAAAAAAAAAATGCAGATATTTTGGATAATATATCAACAGTGTAAAAACTTACCCTCTGCCAGTTTAGCCATGAGATGTAATCTTCCAGTTGCCCCCAGATCAATTCCACTGCGTGCAAGATCATCATTATCAAGGAACGAAACATCGGTACTGCCATCACCACGATCTGTCACATGACCAACTTTCATAGGCCGACCTGCCAACTCAAATCCATTCAATTGATCTAGGGCTCGCCGAGCACACTCTGCATCTGAAAACTAGAGAAAAGTCAAATGAGCACTCAAAGCGTGACTCGAAGCATAAAAGTTAACAGCTAAGCGGAGTTTCCTCCTGCTAACCATAACTGCACACAGTATTTATGTGAAAACTTGATTTTAGTATTGTACTAAAAATAAATAAATGAATATGATAAAATCTTCTTTCCTCGCTCATTGAAAGACACAGGAGACAAAAAACTGTGACCTGTCTGCAGTTTAAAGAGCCTCCTGAAGGATCTATGATTGAATATTGAGGCCCAAACATCCACCTAGTAGAAATTTGAAAATGTGGCAGCAATTGCAATTAGGTAAACAGTTCAATTTGTCTTGGTAATTTATCTTACACAGAAACTCCAAAGGTGGAAGACCAGAGATTTACACCAAGTGAAGTATGCCTTTCATGTCTGTTGATAAACCTTGCCGAAAGTAGCCTTTCTAGCTTTTAGCATCAGAGGAATCACAGAATTAGATATACCTCTGTCTCTCAGAACCTGTACACAGCCATTTCGTTTAAGCCAGTGACCATGAAGCAGATTTGTAACATAGGTCCTTGGGACAGAAGATCCCTAGGATCCAGAGGCAGATCAGAGTGTCTATCATTAGTCTTACCACATCTGTTTGGACCATTCAGGACCAATGAAGATTGCCCGAATCCCCTCAATCTCAATCCTGTGAAACAGCTGAGCAAGGAGATTCAGAAAAGGTGGAAGAGAAATCAGGGTGTATTGAACCTATGGAGTAAACAGAGCATCCACTGCTTCTGCAAGCGGACCCCTGTGCTAGATACTAACTTGTCCAGTTCATTGTTGGACCTAGGAGGACCACATTAAACATCCCCACTTGTTACAAAGATGCAGAAACATCTCTGGTGTAAGTACTTCTCCCAATCTAGACATTGCAGGCCGAGGGAGTCTGGAAAACAACTGTGGACAATTCAGAAAAGTTCTGTGTGGGACAGGATGCAATCTAACTCTTACGCTACATTGATATTTTCAGTTCCTCTTAAATGGTTGATATATGCCACCGCTGTAGTGCTGTTCACCACAATCCATCTTGAAAAAAAGAAGGTGGTGTGCTTTTGCTGCCAATAGTGTCCTAGTGAAAAATGATCTGAAAATCAATCCAAAACAGATGTTGTCCCTCGAAGACCATGTGCAACAAAACGCTTCTTATTCAAAAAACAAAGCACAGCTGAATTAACAAAATGACACCCATCCCATGCATACTATAAACAAGAGATCAGCTACAGTAGTGTAGAGATATCTTTACGGGGATTTGACCAGCTAGTCATAATTTGACAAGGTACAAATCGCAAATAGGAAGTCACTGTATAAAGGGAAGATTTGTTGATTGTCTCAAAGTAGAGCTGACCACTGCAATAAGGAAGGGAAGGGAAGTTCTCAGGATGGGCATAAGAGCCACAGTCTGAATGATTCCTTCCTTCTAAATGATTCTTTAAAGCTTTAAATAAACAAAATATTTTCTTTGTCTGTTTAAATTACAGTAATTTTCAACAAATTACTCCCTTTTTAAGAACATTGAAATGAAAATGTTGCAATCCCATACACTTATTTTACAAATATAAACTTTTGTTCTACTGTTTGGGCATAGGTGATTATAAAAGAAAATTACCAGGGGCGCATGCGCGGCCGGCTCCCGTATCGACGTGTAGTGTGAACCGCTCCGTCCAACCGCCAGAGCGATCGCGGCTCACACAGACCCCAGGGAATTCTAACCCCACAGCGATCCACATCAGAGGTGCCCAAACCTCCCCAGACATGCCCCACAGGAGGAAAAACCCCGGGGCAGCCGGGGAAACTGACTCAATTCTTCCCTGCCATCACAGCAGGGATCCAAGATGGCGCCGGCAGCAGTGACAAGAGGGACAGCAGGCAGCAAGGGGACTACTCTGCCCAGCAACAAGACCACAGGCTGCGATATCCACTGTACCCAGGGGACCCTAGTGAGTTGTCTCCCACCACAAGAAGCCCAGCCAAGTCTAGAATCAGATTGGACCCTGAGCAGCAGCATACATACCAGGCCCTCAGTGATTCACCTCCACAGATACACACAGACCTCCCTGTCAGAGGCATTCCCAGCAACAGATCAACCAGTAACTGAGATATGCATGAAGAACATGATGTTATCTCTCAAACAAACCCTGCATAATGATTTATCATCATCTTTAGTACACATCACTAGCATGGTCAAACATCAAGAACAGAGAATACAACATATTGAATCCAAAATGGGCAACGTCATTATAGCGCACAATGATTTGATTGACGCACACACAGATCATACGTCGGACATTGAACAAATTAATCTGAAACTAGCCGACCTAGAAGATCGTTCAAGGCGTAACAATATCAAGTTTAGGGGTATACCTGAAAGTGTCACTAATGAAGCATTACTATCCTACATACAACAATATATAAAATTCCTCATACCATCTATTTCCGATCTGGAGCTGGCTATAGACCGAGTCCACCGTCTACCTAAACCATCATTCCTATCGGCTTCCATTCCTAGGGATGTCTTAGCCCGGATCCATTTCTACCACATAAAAGATAAAATTATGTTGGCGGCCAGAAATACATCTACACTCCCACCGACACATGCAAATATCCGGTTATGCACGGACCTCTCGAAGACCACGCTACTTAACTGCAAAAAGATGATTACCATTACTAAAGCCCTGAGGAACCGTGGTATAGCATATCAATGGGGATTCCCCACAAAACTAACCGTAAAACAACACGGTAAAGCCTTCACCATCAAAAATCTCGAAGCGGGCCTGGACCTGCTTAAAACCTGGAAAATAATCCCCGAAGACACACTACAAAGCGCACCTACTCATTCTCAGAATATGGAAGGCGATTAAGCCTGTCACTGTTCACCTCCGCTACAACATCAACATAACACCTCAAAGATGTCGTTTCCCCTCACTAATCTCTGGCAATCGGCCAAATTATAGAAGGTATATGTTACCAGAAATTGTTTGGCTTGACCTTCTTTATGGTCAAAGCCTGTTCGAACCCCCCACATCTGAAGTAGCAACTCAAGCTACTCAGACCACTTGCATTTTACGAAAGTCTTTTTTTTACCCCCTTCCTTTTTTCCTCTCACCTCCTTCCTTGACACCACCACCAGTCGCTCAATCCCACCTTAACACCTACGGATCTACGATGAACTTTCATGGAAACTCCACCTTAATCCAGCAACCGAACCTAAACCGCTTTCTCACATCTGATTACCTCCTCCCTCACATGGATACGCTCGCACAACCTCATATCCTTTCAAATATCACTTCAAACATTTCGCTTAGCACTCAAAGACCTGCACAATGATCAACATTACATCCCTTAATGTCCGTGGCTTAAACTCTCCATTCAAGAGATCGATGCTCCAAAAAGAAACTAGAAAGTTTCAGCCCGACATCCTCTTTATTCAAGAATCCCACTTCGCTACAAACAAGATACCCAAATTTCACCTCCATCGTTTCCCAAACATCTTCATGGCCACTAACTTAAAAAAAGAACCGGGGTCATTACAGCCATAAAAGACTCTATCCAGTTCCGACACATATCAGAAACCATCGACCCTCAAGGTCGTTACCATATTCTAATATGCCAACTGAATAACAGCCTCTACACTTTGGTGAATGTCTATGGTCCCAACAAAAACCAGTTGAAATTCTATAACAAGCTCTACAACACTATCTCTTCACTAAAACAAGGCAGAATTATCATCGGAGGAGACTTCAATATTATTGGCAACCCACATCTGGACTCGTCCTTCAACAAAAGATCGCCTAAACAAGCCTTCAACCAATTCCTACATAACCATGACCTCTACGACATCTGGAGATGCCAACATAGCAATGAGAAGGACTACACCTACTACTCCCTTCCGCACCTTTCATACTCCAGAATCGACTTTTTCCTTACGGACAAATGGACACTGCAACATATATCATCATCCAAAATTGGCGCAATAACGTGGTCAGACCATGCTCCAATCCACATTTCAGTAGACGAAAACGAACGTTCGGCAATCCCGCCTATTTGGAGACTAAACTCTGCAATCCTGAAGAACCCAGAACACCAGAAACATATTTTAGAAGCTCATAACCTATTTTTTGAAACCAACACAGCTCCTAACATGCCTATAACCACGATCTGGCCCACCTATAAGGCTTACATGAGAGGTATCCTCATACAATTAAACTCCTGCATCAAAAAACAAAAGGTCCTATCAAATCGATCAAATTCTATCCTCCATTAAAAACGGAATGAAGAAATTAACAAAACAAACCCAAATGCCGCCACAGCCGCAACCCTGGCCTCTGACAGAAACAAATTGAGAATACGATTCTGTTACACGAATACGACCTTAACTTACAGAAAAGTAAATCCAAATTCTACGCGCTCGGTAATAAAGCGAATGCACTCCTATCAAAAATGATTAAACAAAAGCGGCTTAAATCTAAGATAGCCACGATTAAGCACCCAACTACAAACGCACAACTTACAAACCCACGAGACATATCCGACGGCTTTGCGACATATTACCACACACTATACAACCTCAAGGATGATCTTGACACAACCCAACCCACCACCATTACCAATCAAAAATTCCTAGACAATACCAACTTACCACGTCTCTCAGCATCCCAACTTACTTCGCTATCGATACCAATCTGCCCCGCAGAAATAGATCGTAACATAACCCTAAACAAATCCCCTGGAAATGACGGTTTTACCAACGAATTCTTTAAAATAATAGCACCCAACCCCACACACCGCATTTATCTGAATTATTTAACCATGTTGCCTCTACAGGGATATTTCCCTCTGAAATGCTACAATCAGTAATTACAACCATCCCTAAACCAAACAAAGATCCCCAACTGGTACAAAAATATAGACCGATTTCTTTGTTAAACACGGACATAAAGTTGTATGCCAAAATAATTGCCCAAAGATTACTTCCTTACCTCCCCACACTAATCCACTCTGACCAGGTGGGATTTATCCCCGGTAGACAAGCTCCAGACGCTACTAGAAGAATAATATCCCTCCTCTACAAACTTGAAGCCACCAAACAACCCTCATTACTCTTATCTTTAGACGCTGAAAAAGCATTTCATCAAATCCATTGGCTTTTTTTGAAACTTACACTCCAAAAATTTGGTCTTACAGATTGGGTATTATTGGCAATACTCGCCCTCTACAGTTCTAACTAATGGTACGCTCTCAAAACCCTTCCAAATTTCTAATGGCACCAGACAAGGCTGCCCCGTCTCCCATAATTTTTACTCTATTAATTGAACCCTTGGCTTCTAAACTCAGGGATGACCCAGCATTCACGGGTATTACTCACTCCAAAATGGACCATAAAATTAGCCTTTTTGCAGACGATATCATCCTAATGGTTACTAATCCCTACAAATCACTTCAAACAATACACATGCACCTCCACAACTACTCAGAAGTCTCCTACTATAAGCTCAACGAACCGAAATCCTCCATTTTAAACCCATACACTCCTCCTAAGATCCAAAATATGCTGATCAAACATTTCCCCTTCACATGGGAACTACACAGCATTCCATACCTGGGAATAAAGCTTACAACCTCAACTAACCAATTATACGAAGCTAACCACAAACTACTACTTGACTCCATTCCATGGGAACTTAAACAACTACACACACCAACATTATCGACAATGGGTAGAATAGCAACTTTAAAAATGTGCATATTACCTAAAATACTTTACATTTTCCGTACTCTTCCTATTCCAGTTCCTAACTCCTTTTTTTCTAAACTCCAAGCGATACTAAACAAATTTATGTGGAGCAAAAAAAAAAACCTAGATGATGCATGACAAATCTACTAATAAGACCTTCCTCCAGGGGAGGAGCAGGTCTTCCACACTTAAAATCTTACTACAACGCCACGCTCCTAGACCAGCTCTTCTTTTGGTGGCATCCTACCAAGGATAAAATGTGGACCCACTTGGAAATTTCTTTACATCTCCCACATACTCCTGACAAATTATTGTTCCTTCCTCTAAATACCCAAACTCTTCCTTTATCTAAACATCCATGTATAAAAGCCTCCTTACAGGCCTGGTCCGACCTCTTATCCTTTAATTACCCAGACAACGAAACAACAAAAATCCCTACTCCAATTTCTACACTACACCTCATCATTCCCTCTTTAAACCTGACACAATGGGAAAATCGAGGTATAGCTCATATTCGAGACTTATACATAGATCATAGGCTAAAATCCTTTGCTAACCTCCAAGAAAAATTCCACCTCCCTGACAATGAAAACTTCACATACATGAGAATTGCCCACTCCATACGCAAACTGGATTTATCTCTAGAACTAACAATCCCCTCCACGGCATACCTCTTCTTTCAAAGAACACATTATCCTAAGAAGGGAATCTCAACCTTTTATACGATTATAAACAACACTCAGTTTGATATCCATACCACTTCCCTGATTAACTGGGAAAAAATCCTCCATCAACCGGTTTCTCCATACACTTGGGCAAAAACCTTCAATACCACATACAAAGCCTCCAAATGTAGCTCCCACTGGGAAGCATACATGAAAATCTTACATCAGTGGTATCCAACACCTGTTAAACTCAACCTTTACTACACCCAACACTCGCCCAAGTGCTGGAGACAATGCGGAGAAATAGGAACGACTCTCCATATACTTTGGTCATGTAAATCTCTCACATCGTATTGGAATAGAGTATTCCAATTGATCTCCATATCTGAAGTTCCAACGACTCCAAACCCAGCTTTAGCTCTCCTTCACATAGGAATAGAAAATTTTCCCTCAGACTCTCGTACTATTATAATCCACGCATTAGCAGTGGTAAAAAGCAATATTACTAAATTATGGAAATCCACCACATCCCCCTCGCTCTCAACCCTCATTGCGGAGCTTAATCTCCATTGTGAGATGGAAAAGAGAACAGCAATCCAAAATCTCTCATATCACAAATTCTGTTTTCAATGGTCTCGGTGGCTTCAAGACCCTAACTGCTCTGTTAAATGAAAACTATAATAACATATCACCATACTAGTGCCAACGCATCTGACTGGTGCCCTCCCTCCCTCTTTTCTAGTCCCTCTCCCCTCTACGGTTTATCACATGTTCAACCATATAAAGTTCACAATGAGCTGAGCATACCTCTCAAGTATCCGTGGCCCTGCTACATCGTTCCCAGCTAAATAGTGGGAACCCGCTCCCTCTAACGTATGTTTATTTTCCGATAATGCATTTTATTGTGAACATGTCTCGTTTCATATTTGTTTCACATGTTGTGATAACTTGTTTGTTGAAAATTTCTTCAATAAAAATTATTTGAATATAAAAGAAAATTACCAGGTCCAGTCTCACAAAAGATTGAGAAACACTGCCATAACATACCAAATGGGCCATAGCTTTAAATATTCTAATTCCCTTTGGCTTTAAAATATTATAATAATTGGTACTAGAAAATCAATACTGTCTGCATAAGCAAAATGTGGGAAGCTGCTGGAAGCATGCAGAGACACAAAACCTAATTTTGCAAGCAAATGTTTACAGACAACATATAGCTCTTACCGTGATAAATCCATAACCCTTGGATCGCCCTGTATCAGGTTCCCGAAGAAGCTGAATGTTCTCAATCTGAAAAATAAAATAATTTTTCTTTCAGATACGACAGAGTCCACAACTAAATCCATAAGTAAAAATAAAATAGTCAATTATATATTCAAATGAAAAGTGAAAATAACCTTTCCAAAAGGTTCAAAAATTCCTCGTAACATGTCCTCTGTGATATTGAAGTGTAGAGAGCCTACATAGAGGCGCATGGGTCCGGAATTTCCTCTCTGCAGATTATTTGCCATAGCAGCCAAACGGTTCTTCTCAGCCTTAAAAGAAAAAAAAAAAAAAAAAGTTAACATATACAGCACAGTCACACCTTCTATACAAATATGTAATTTTTTTCACAACACTATCTGCTATTTATCCTGAGGCTTTACCTAAATGCAATAATCACCTTGTGCTATAACACTCTTTACAACTGACAGAGCTACTGCAGTATATATTTCAGTGACAAAAATAGCAGAATAGTGTGAATCTTAGTTAAAGGATGTACAGTACAACGTGACCAGCACAAACGTTCCACGGCTAAAAGAGACCCAGCACATGTACTTTACATGAGAAAAAAAATACAGGTAGTTAGCTTCATCTTAATAGCTGCTATGAACCAGTCCTGTGAACACCTAAACGATGCAACCAAAGTGCAACCACAAAAGTCTTAAGGATTGAAGGTCAAATGTCAGATGTTTTTCCTCTGCCCTTCAAGGCACATAGGTACAATCAAAAAATGGGCAAAGAGAAAAATAATCTTTGAGAAATTAACCACGCTTACCTGTGAAGCCTGTACGATAATAGGTACACCTAGCAGCCTCTGGCCAGTTAAGCCAATGGCCAAGGGTACAGACTGGATATCTAAAAATTCGACATATGCAATGCCCTTTGATCTGCGAGAGTTTCTGTCTGCTATAATTCTCACATCTCGCACCTACAAAAAGGCAAAAATTGAGAGGTCAGCTACAGGATTTTTGAACACACACATAAGCCTTTATTAGGATGATCCTCTTACTTTTCCTACAGCAGAGAAAAAGTCCTCCAAGTCACGTGGACGAATGCGAGCAGCCAACTGCATACAAAACACTGTCCTTGCATCACGTTCTTCTGGAGTTAGTGTGGGTTCTGGTTGCCTGGTAGTGATTTAAACAGGAGTTAAAAAATATTACACACACACTTCTAAGGTGTTGCTCGCTTAGAAATGTTGAAGGCCAAATCATATTCACTTTAAATACACTTATGACTATAAAATATATAACTACCTAGCTGTGAGCATTCTGAATGCACCCACTTGCAAATTAGATGCGATCGGCTCAGGATACAGATTGCCTGCATCCAGGGCTGATCGCCCACATGTGGTCACTGTGCAAGAGATTACACACAAGTGGGCGCAATCAGGTGCGAGAGCCGGCCACCTCCAATTGCTTTCAATGGGGAGGCCTATTCGCAGCTAACCACTGAGCAGATATTCGCAAGTGTGAATACACAGCAAAATGCAGATATATAGCATTTGAGTGGAGAAAAAAAAGAATTAGAATAAAGGAGAATAATGCAAAACACTGTTTTTAAACTCTTTTCACAGTATATACCAAAGCATACCTGATAGGACTCTTTTCCTTATGTCGGGGGCTGCGACTTCTGCTGCGTGTGTGACGCCTCCTGTCAAATTAAGTATTTATTTTGATTAGCAGTTTATTTTGCTCAAACAAAAACCTTTTACTGTGGTGGGGCGACACAGTTGCATTTATATATACACAAGTCTGCAGACGTGCGGGTGCACATGTGTACCCCCTGCCAACCTTTGCTGTCATTGGACAAAACACGAGTTTGGTGGCTGATTTCAGCCATTGATTTTGGCTGAACTCAGCTGATCACCTGTTAAAAAAAGACTTTTGTATACAGGGAATGGTAATCTGGCTGTTTTTTTCTCCCTGCCTCACTAGGCACAGAAGTAACCCCTTGACTGCCCGTAGAGGATAACCCCTTCCCAGCCAGTGTCATTAATACAGTGACAGTGTACAATATTAGCACTGATCATTGTATTAGTGTCACTATTGATGTCAGTGTCAGTCCCTCCCAGCCAGATTGCCCACCACACTATCACAGTTCCACTACAAGTCGCTGATCACCAACATTACCAATATAGCGTCATAGCTGCATAAATTCCAGGTATATATACACACACCATAGTTTGTAAACGTTATAAAACTTTTGTACAAACCATTACACACTTATTGGGGTTTTTTTTTTTTTTAAACCACAGACAACGAACACATTTTGGCCCAAATGTATGAAGAAATAATAATTTTTTTTACTGGATGTGTTTTATAACAGAAAGTAGAAAATAATGCATTTTCCCCAAATTTTCGGTCTTTTTTCCATTTATATAATAAATAATGAAAAAAAAAAAACAGTGATGATGAAGTACCACCACCACCAAAAAAAAGAAGCTTAATTTTGTGTGAAAATTATAAGCTTAACAAGGTAGAAGGTTTCTAATAGTCCTGTGCATCACGATACATTTTGAAAAAAAAAAAGAAAATTTCACTTAAAAAAATGCAAATGTTTCCTATAGAGAAAAAAAAAAAGCTGTAGTTAAAAAACAATGTTTCTATATTTACTTTGTTTAAATCTTTTACAGCAATCTTCTTACCCAAAATATTGTTCCGTTTACATGCTGTATATGCCTTACATTTCATATTTAAAGTGGTTGTAAAGCCTAAACATTTTTTCTCATAAAGTATTCCTTGTATTAAAGGTAAAAAAAATGTTTGGGTGAACTTATACTTTACCTGAGCCCTCACTTGATCCTGTGCAGTGCCCATCTGCAGCGGCTCTCTCTTCTCCCCGGTCTTACAGGCTTGGCTGAGAGCAGTGGGAGCCATTGGTTCCTGCTGCTGTCATTCATATCCTGTGACGAGGGAGTGGGGGTGGGGCTGTCAACGGACACAAACAGCAGGGATCAGGATCGAGCACGCAGGTGTCACAATAGGAAGGGGCTTCCTATGGTGGCACAGTGAAAAGAGGAGGAGCCAGTAGAGCCAACAGGGAATCCAAGAAAAGGAGGTTTGGGGTGCTCTGTGCAAAACTATTGCAGAGAGCAAGTAAGTAAACACCTGCTTAAAACTAACAGGCTATCCTACAAAAATCATCTCAGCACTGGCTGTGCCTGAACACCAATTTGCCAAATGCTTACACGGTTGACTTAACAAAAAGTAGTATAGCTGCACCTAAATTACTTTTTGGGTAAATAACACACACACACACACACACACACACACACACACACACACACACACACACACCCCACCCCCCCCCCCCCCCCCCCCCAGACTGTCCATGCACATTTCCTGAACCATGTTCAAAACCCACTGGGTATGTGATCTTCTGTAATTGTCAATGTATTCCTAATGACACTCCAAACACAGATTGCAAAAGCAGTGCTCTTGCCTGCATTGGATCACATGACACCACAGTACTATGCAGTCCGGTTGCAGTGTTTTTAAAAGTAGTGCATGCACTACTTTTGATACAACGCAGTGCAATTTCAGCCCATTCAAAAGGGTTGGGCTGAAAATGACACCGCACTGAATCGCACAGGAACGCAGACCGCATTCCTGTATGATTCAGGTGTGAACCAGCCCTAAAGCAAACTATTTTAGAATGATCTTGAACAAACCATGTCATTTTTGATTTCTGATCAGCAAGCTTCTAGAATGACACTAGTCTTGTTTTGAGGTGAAAAACCAAAAAAAACACATGGTCAAAGTTTCTCACCCAGGACTATGGTGTCTGGAACGTTCATCTCGTCGGCGATCACGACTCCTTGAGCTGTGTCGTCTTCCACGACTGCGGCTTCTATGTCTGCGCTCACGGCTTCGGTGTCTATCCCTGCTGCCCCGTCGTCTGTGCCGGTCCCTACTCCGACTGCGGCTGAGAAGATAAGAGATTTAAAATGTACATCTATTTAGAAACCCCTCAAAAATCTGCATCATGGAAATTGTGGCAAGGTCATCGCATTTATCACTATGTCCCCATTCCACTACTTTCCCCCTGGTGAGGCTGCTGATCACATTGCATTGCCATTCAAAAGATGTGTGTGGGTGAGAGCTTGAGCTTTCAAGTTCTAGCCATTATTGACATAACTAAGCTCTTTGAGTTTTGTGGATAATATGGCACACAAAAAGAACGCTAAAGTTATGTGCACCATAAAGGAAAGTAAATCTACCTCTGTGGCACAATACCCCCTGGGATATCAATATCAACAGCCTGGCTCCTCTACACCTCACAACCATGAAAAAATGGGAAGGCTGGAATTCACATATAATCCTGAGTTATCCTTTAAAAAAGCAAAACATTCTTGAGTAACCAAAAGGGACAACCATATGCAGATACCCCCTACTTGAGGTAGCAAAGACAGCTTGGATTTCATTGGTCAATACCATGGTGTGGAGCAGCACTGCAGAGGAGTAGGGGGTGGGTTAAAACCAGAATTAGTAAAGGAAAATATGTTATATATTCATGGAGTGAAAGTTCACTTTGAAAGATATACACCTACCTTCGGCGTCTATCATGACTTCTGCTTCTCTTCCTACTTCTACTTCTCCTAAAAACAAAGAAAACATGCAATTACATACTGTGCAGTACAGGGGCCACAGATAAAATAAACAAACAGAGGGAAAAAAATACCAAATAACAATGAGGTATACTCGCCTGTTGCTGTTACTGGCGTTTCCAGACCGACTGCTGCTTGTCTCTTTCGCCTGTTCCTTCTTTGTCTCCTGATTGGGAGTTTCTTCCTGTTCAGCCCAACAAAAAATGCCACACCGACAGAAGATGGTCAGGGAGGTCCCAACATAGAATTATATAGAAGAATATAGGGTAGGGAAACAGCAGAAAGACATAACACAAAAAATCTTATTAGCTAGAAATTAAAAAGAACAGTAGTCACTGCTATAAAGGAGTGGGATTTTGAAAGCTCAGCCAGTGAATCAAATTTCCAAACTACCTACATAATTTCTTGACATTAATACATGACCTTACATGGAGGATGAACAGAGATCAGCAGAGTGCACCTCTAATTATATACCTTACCTGATACAAAAATTAGTTATTATGGGTTATTTCCCAATGTATCTTGTCTCTCAAACTCCTCGGCCTGGAGCAAACAGAGGGCATATTGCTTTATGATTTTTAGCAAGTACAAACTGAGAGCAAAGTAATTAAGCATAGATGCTACAAACACACATAATGACTAACATGTAATAGTGAATAGGCATCCCCTCAGTCATAGGCTTTATGAGCCTGCAAAAAAGGCACATACCATGTTTATAAAAAAAGTACATCTATTAAAGCTGAATTTTAGATATGGCTATTTTGCATATTTACATTGGTCCAGCTTGGACCAATGTAACTATGTATGTTCCATACCTGGCCAGTCCCTATGAAAGCTGAAAAATCATTGTAGTAAGCACTGCTATTACAGCGCTTGCCGCTGGCTTCCAGATCCAGTGCGGGATGGTTGACCTGCTGCTTAATTATCACTCACTTGGCATTGGCACCGTTCAGAGAACACTTTGCATTTCTCAATGAATGTAAAACATTCTATGATGGATGAAGAGGAGAGGTGGGCAATAGTCGCCACCAATTCCCATCATCTTACTTTGCAATTACTGAGAAAATATGAAGTGTTCTCTGAATGGTACCAATAATGAGCTAGAAAGTGACCTCCTTTGTTCACCAAGCGGCCAGGCACTCATTCGGCATGGGACCCAGAAGCCAACAGCAATCATCGTGGTAACGGTGTGTACTACAGTGATTTCCAGCTTCCACAGAGAATAGCCAGGTATATAACCTGCATAGTTACATTGGTCCGAGCTGGGTCAACATAACTATGCAAAAATAGCAACATCTGGAATTCAGTTTTGAGGTGGCAATACATTTAAGCTTGTTGTCTGCACTATACCATGAACACAGCAGTAGTGCTGCTTAAGTGGGTCATACAATTAAATTCATAGGTTGAACAAAAAATATCTCAATTAAATTCCTCCATTAACACTATACAGGGTGGATGGAGAAATCTCCCCTGCTGCTATTGTATTCTGACACCCTGACATTGCCTGCATCTGATTGGATGCATATTTTGTTCAGCTGACAATTCTCCACCTGGCTCCTTTGAAAAAAGTAATATATTCAATAAACTTTTGTTGAGACGGATGGTGTTGACAGGGGTACCCATGGCTGGAATTTCATCTGGTTCAGAGTGAATCAGTTGAAATTCCAGCAGTGTACAGCACTCTTTACGGTGCCCCTTAAATATATAAAATGATCTCCCTGGAAGTAAATAAGTGGCAGTTATCAAGCATACTTTTTTCACTTCTTCCAAAACAAAAGATGTATATCCATCTTAAACGGTTTGGACCCCATTCATTACAGTTATGCTGCATTCACTGTAAAAGGGCAAACGCATATAAGCACCATTCATGTATGCGTCCCTAACGCACTAATGAAAGAAACTGAGGTTTTTATTCTGTCACAATGCTTTCAACAATACTAACACTAATGATCACAAAATGATAAAAACACTGGGTACAAGTATGCATTGGGAGATAGCTGGATCACTTACTTTTCTCAGCAGTGGTTATATATTCACATATTATTCAACACTGGCCTCTAAACATCTATGGCTAAAGCAGCAATGTCCGTAGTTCTGTGTAAATATCAGAAAGTACAACTTGTACAGTTTAAACCATGCTCTTTTAAGTTATTAAATTTGTTGCCCCTTGTACTGCAGAACCATCTCTGGCCGAAGGAGCTAAACCCCTATCCCACAAACAGATCTTTGCTTTGGTCTTGTGGTAGTCTTGACGTCAAACACTGTTCAAGGCCCTTCCCCGGAAGAGCAGGGCAGGGAGGAGGACTAGGTTCTATGAAGAGAAAGGGAGCAGTGCGTTATTGATTGACTGACAGGCTCTCTTTATAACAGGTTAAGTGGGCGAGGAAAACCAGCAGTGAAAACTTCAAAACCAACCACCAATAGTAAGAACAGTAACACAACTTTATTCTTGAGGTTCCCAAGTAATCTGTGATCATGTTGGTCACAAAAAGTATTAAATAAATTACTGTTCTTGGATTTTCCATTTAATCAAATGTGAATGCTTTTTAGGGCAAAAATGCAATTATTCTTGAAATGACCTTACTGGATCCTTAATGGACTGGCATCGCGTAGTAAAGGTTGTTATGTTACTATTTGTAAAGTTTTAAAAATGATCAGTGTTCTGCTATGTGCACATGAGTGCTTACTTAGAAAACCAAAAGATAGAAAAATGAGTTACTTTATTTCCTATTGCAATTCTTTTCTATTCAGCTACATAGTAAATAGGCTGAAAAATGACACAACAAATCAAGTAAAATTTCTCAAGCCAGTGGTTTCGTCCCATAGGAAGACAAGATCAAACATCTAGGTAACAGTCACTAATTTTGTTTATAGGACAACTAAATTTTCCAACCCTTGACCCTTTCTAAGTACCTAAAAACCACATATAAAAAAAAAATAAATAAACTTTTTACTTTTCTAGAAATGGACTGTTTAAAGTTATTGTCAGTTTTTTTTTTCACATATTAAAGGCATCCTTTCAAAGAAAAAGATAATACACACCTCTCCTGAAGCCCAGATATCCAGTGTCCATAAAATCTACAGAAAGTGCCATAGAGCTTGGAAATACAGCAGAGATCAGCAGTGCAAGGGGTAGGTATTTACCCTTTTCATTGCAAGGATGCCTTTGATATTTTAAAAACACTACACACAGAACAGAAGAGATCAGAAGAGCAATACTGATGTCCACGTGAATAAACTGAAGAGGTAGGAGGACATTAACTTGATAAGCTATATGTGTTTGAAACAAAGTGTACATACCCTAACAATTCTTCCAGTGAACAGAGCCATAGTTCTCATATTTAATTTACTGGTATAACAACTAAACTAATCATTCCCACCTCCATTTACAGCAGTTTCTCATCAACCAAATCTTAGCATACTGCTACAAGAACACATGGCTAAAGAGAACCTATCACTTTCTAATTCACATCTTCTGAGGAGGAAGGAGTATGCAAAGTTGTGTCTCTTCTTGTAAAGCCTTCAGTTAAAGTGGCTTATATTTAGTTTGTTTATAAGTGGATGGAATGTTACCTAAAAAAGCATGCAAGGACTAGTATCCGAAATTGAAAAAAAACCCATAATATACTGTGTTATGATGTGATAAAAGTTTAATTTTAAGTGTTACTTTATACACTGAATTCAGATACTTTATTCAAAGCTTGTTATTAGAAAGGCTGTATGTATAGTTTTGAAATTGTTACAGTGCCTTAAAAAGTTAATTCATACCCCTTTGAAATTTTCCACATTTTGTCATGTTATAACCAAAAACGTACCGTATTTGCCGGCGTATAAGACGACTTTTTGACCCTTGAAAATCTTCTCAAAAGTCGGGGGTCGTCTTATACGCCGGTACACATGTTAGGGGGGCTGCGGCATTAAGTACAGGGGTTTGCAGGGGCTGATGTCTCTTACCTGGATCCAGTCCCACGACAATCCGGTCCAGGAAGCGCGGCGTCTCCTTCAGTTCGGCCACTGGATGTTCGTGCGGCTGCTCGGCTCCGCCTCCTCACCGGTGATTGGCCGCCAGAACTGTAGCTCAGGAAAGGCACACAGGCGGCCAATCACCGGCGAGGGGGCGGAGCCGAGCGGCCCCCGCGAAAATTGAGTGCCGGAGCAGCAGGTAAGTGTTCTGTGTAGAGGTGCTGCTGCAACCACATATGCTGGCTGCAGCAGCACCATACGAGAACAGGGTCAGCAAGTCTCAGTGGGAGGAATAGTGCCCCATCATTGGTGTCACTGATACCAATGATGGGGCACTATTCCTCCCACTGATACCAACGATGGGGCACTATTCCTCCCACTGACACCAACGATGGGGCACTATTCCTCCCCCCCACTGACACCAACGATGGGGCACTATTCCCCCCCCCCACTGACACCAACGATGGGGCACTATTCCACCCCCCACTGACACCAATGATGGGGCACTATTCCACCCCTCACTGACACCAATGATGGGACACCATTCCTCCCACTGACATCAATGATGGGGCACTATTCCTCCCACTGACACCAATGATGGGGCACTATTCCTGCCACTGATACCAATGATGGGGCACCATTCCTGCCACTGATACCAATGATGGGGCACCTATTCCTCCCACTGATACCAATGATGGGGCACTATTCCTGCCACTGATACCAATGATGGGGCACTATTCCTCCCACACCAAATGATGGAGCACTATTCCTCCACTGATACTAATGATAGGACACTATTCCTGCCACTAATGCCAACGATGGGGCACTATTCCTGCCACTAATACCAATGATGGGGCACTATTCCTCCCACTGACATCAATGATGGGGCACTATTCCTCCCACTGGTGTGCATTGGAAGAGGGGTAGTCTTATACGGCGAGTATAGCCCAAACACTACATTTTAGCAGGAAAAGTAGGGGGGTCGTCTTATATGCCCAGTCGTCTTATACGCCGGAAAATACGGTAAATGTATTTTTTGGGGATTTTATGTGATAGACCAACACAAAGTGGCACATAATTGTGAAGTGGAAGGAAAATGATAAATAGTTTTCAACATTGTCTACATATAAATATCTGAAAAGTGTGGTGTGAATTTGTATCCACCCCCCCCCCCCCCCCCCCCCCCCCCCCCCCCCCCGCCCCCCCCCCAATACTTTGTAGAACCACTTTTTGCTGCAATTACAGCTGTAAGTCTTTTTGGGGATGTCTCTACCAGCTTTGCACATCTAGAGAGTGAAATTTTTGCCCATTCTTCTTTGCAAAATAGCTCAAGCTCTGTCAGATTGGATGGAGAGTGTCTGTGAACAGCACTTTTCAAATCTTGCCACAGATTCTCAATTGTATTTAGGTCTGGACTTTGACTGGGCCATTCTCTCTAGCCATACACACCAAACTGAGCATGTGCATCTGACTACAGATTCAGTCTGTATCAGGTGGTCATTTCAACAAGAGGAGGGGGCAGAGAAGAAATGATCAAACATCCTTTTTATACAATGCAGAGGATAACCCCTCAGGTTCCAGTGAGTATAACAAGCATGCTTTATTGCATATACAAACTGATTTTTACTGTTGTGGGTTTAGTAACACTTGAAATAGAAAACTATCTTTAGATAGATTTTTACTACAAAAGCATTTTATTCAAATAAATTTGATAAAAATCAAAAAAATCCGATTTCAAATTTTAAAAAAAAAAAAAATAATTTTTAAAATAAAAATCAATTGATTTTTATCCACCCTGTGCATGACTAATAGTTGTTCTGTGGACAGATTCTCCCACCTGAGCAGTGGATCTCTGCAGCTCCTCCAGAGTTGGGCCTCTTGGCAGCTTCTCTGATTAATGCTCTCCTTCCCCGGCCTGTCAGTTTAGCTGGACGGCCATGTCTTGTGCCACACTCTTTCCATCTTCGGACGATGGATTGAACAGTGCTCTGTGAAATGTTCAAAGCTTGGGATATTTTTTATAACGTAACCCTGCTTTAAACTTCTCCACAACTTTATTCCTGACCTGTCTGTTGTGTTCCTTGGCCTCCATAATGCTGTTTGTCCACTCATGTTCTCTAACAAACCTCTGAGGGCTTCACAGATCAGCTGTATTTATACTGAGATTAAATTACATACAGGTGGACTCTTTTTACTAATTAGGTGACTTCTGAAGGCGATTGGTTCCACTAGATTTTAGTTAGGGGTATCAGAATAAAGGGGACTGCATACAAATGCACACCGCACTTTTCAGATATTTGTAACAAAATTTTGAAAACCATTTATCATTTTCCACTTCACAATTATGTGCCACTTTGTGTTGGTCTATCACATTAAATCCCAATAAAATACATTTACGTTTTTGGTTGTAACATGACAAAATGTGGAAAATTTCAAGGGGTATGAATACTTTTTCAAGGCATTGTATATATATTAAGGCAGCCACTTAGGGTTTACATATGAAAAATGTTACTACAAAACAAAGAACACGCTCTAAAGTGCATAAGCAAGTTATTGCAACCTCTGACATGTTTACTAAACTGCTAAAATGTTATTATGTTGAGCTATACATGGGGGAGGCAAGGGCGAATGTGCAAAATTTTAACTTTTTTCAGAAAAGGTGTTTGGGCTACCTTAATAGACTGTCACAGTAGAAATGCAAAGGCATTGGCAACTGTCTCTCATGATGTGGATGCTTTGTGGTCAGGCAAAGCCTTTGGCCATCTTTATCTGAATGTTTTCCCCAAGTGTATCTGTCAGTTAACAAAGTCTTCCATTTGTAATGTGAGTTGCTGACAGGATGCCTAACAGATATCGTTAATCCTTTTAAGGATTCAGCCTTTTTGTTAAAGTTCAGAGCTAAAATTTAAATAAGACAATTTTAGATGCTTATGAAGACAGGCATTTTTAAAGCGCCTGTTAAACACAGGTCAGCAATTTCCCATTTACTTTAGTGGAGCTTTAGATAAACAGGTACAACTCATAGGAAGATTTGCTTCATCCCTGTGTATCACCTGAGGACAGTCACTTCAGTGGCCATGAGTAACAGTTTACAACCACTTTAAGTTATTTTAGGAAATGGGCCAAGAGCAGAATAATGTGGTCTCTATAAAAGTAGCAACAATCTAACCAGATGACTCCTGTATATAAGCCAGCCACCATCAGCTTTAGGCAGGAAGACTAGTATGGAATAAGAAATTTTCAATAGAATTTGCTTTGTCGCTGTGTTCAACACTTTTTTTAACCACTGCATAAGCTTATCACAAAGCTTTTTTGATATAGAAAAGGTTATGGACTTGGCTTTAAGAAACTAACACAAAAGGGATCCAGAATTAAAAACTTCAGTCAGCAGGCAACGCATTACTGCTTTCATACAGTGCATGCCAATAGAGGAAAGGCAACTCTGAAAGCTCACAGAGGGCCCCTTTAAGACTGAACTCTGACCAGAATTGTTACTTTCAACACCAGCTCTGATACTTAACCTAGGAAAAAAAAAAATTTAATTTTGTTTTTTTAAATATCACCTCTTAGACTTACCTCCCTCTCTTGATTTTTATAAGGTGCCTCCAGCATTGCTTCAATCACAATATCAAAGTCATCTGATGCCATGTCGGCTAATCAATGAGTTTATATTCTAAACAAAGCAGAAAGAAACAGTATCACCATAGTGGGATATACAGGAATCTGATCATACAGTTATATGGAAACCCCAACAACGAAATCCTCTTATTTCCTCCCTTTTGGTTTTTTTTAAATTGCCATGTGTTGTCATCCCACAATTGGACTTAGGAGCTGAGTGCATTTCTGGTAGATCAATGTTTTTTTCTGTGCTTGCAGGGTCTTTACATGGATAAAGTATGGGGAAATGTGCATGCATATATGCAAAGATGTACTGCATATATGTATATTTTATTTGTGCCTTGATATATGGTTGAACCCTTTCGCTGCCACTGACAAAATGGATATGGCAGGACAGAACAATCTGCAACTGGACAGTTCAGTATGCCTTAACCACTTGCCTACCGGGCATTGTTACCCCCTTCCTGCCCAGGCCAATTCTCAGCTTTCAGCGCTGTCGTACTTTGAATGACAATTGCGCGGTCATGCAACACTATACCCACATGAAATTTTTATCATTTGTTTCACACAAATAGAGCTTTTTTGGGGGTGTTTTAATCACCACTGGGGGTTTTATTTTTTTGCGCTATAAACAAAACAAAAAAAAAAAGATGTTTTTCTTTGTTTCTATTCTAAAATTCTGCAAACAGGTAATTTTTCTCCTTCACTGATGTGCATTGATGAGGCTGCACTGATGGGTGACACTGACTGATGACATTGACTGGAAGCACTGATCATCATTGCCCTGATGATCAGTGGTGATCTCTTCTGTAAAAGCGTGAGGAAAGTGCTACTGATAACCGACAACTGTATTTACTCCGTGATGTGCTGTGTCATTGGACACAGCTGATCTTGTGGTAAAAGGCTGCTGTGATTGGCCTTTTATCACATCACGTGAACAGCTGTGTCCATAGGACACAGCGATCACGGAGATCGCCGGATGCGGAGGGCGCATTCTGGGAGGATGTCATACGACGCCCTCCCAGAACTGGGCAACCCTGCTGTAGCCATCATTCGGCTATAGCACAGTTACCAAGTGGTTAAAGAGTAACTCCGCTTTGTTGAGAAAAGAAAATATTCCGCTGTGGGCGATCTATATACATTGTATATGCATGCTGCATAGTCCTACCTTTTTGTTATTCTGAAGAAAGAGCTGTTTGTCTGTGTCAATGTGCTGAACCGATGTGAATGGGAGTGGTTTCAGAATTATCAATCAGCTGCTGCACCTGCAGCTCTCGAATGAGTAAAATTGCTGGGTCTGCATCCCTTTAGATGAGAATGCCCTTTGTTGCAGGGAAGGCCTAATATTTGAAAGACTTTCATTTTTAAAAAGAAACGTTTTTTTTTTTTTCTGCCAGTTTCTGTTATAAAATTTTTCAAATAAATAATCTTTCGTAGCTGGTACACTGATTGGTCATTCGTCAAGACAGATCGCACCTCAGCATGGCCCACCAGGAAGGAATTAAAGGGGGGAAATCTTCCAATGGGGGCACTAGTTCTGGTGACCTGAGGGTCCCCAAGGAGTTCCCTTAATTTCCTCTCACTTCCTGTTTGGCTATGGGACAGAAAGTGAACACCCATGTGATCCAATTCTGCACATCGCGCTGTGTTTTGCAAACCAATTAAGGGGTGTTGTTAACTTGCCCTGCAGAGGATTTACCCTCCTTCCTGACCAGGCCATTTATTGCAACAGTGCTGCGTTACTTTAATTGACAGCTGCGTGGTCATGCAATGCTGTACATAAATGAAGTTTATGTCATTTTTTTCCCCCCACAAATAGAGCTTTCTTTCAGTGGCATTTGATCACCTCTGCGGTTTTTATTTTTTGCACTGGAAACAAAAAAAGACTGGCAATTTTGAAAAAAAAATTTTTTAAACTTTTTGCTATAAAACATACAATAAAAAAAAATTTAATTTTTTTTTTTTTTTTAATTTCTTCATAGATTTAGGCCAAAATGTATTCTGCTACATATCTTTACTAAAAAAAAAAAAACAATCCCAATACGTGGAAATTGGTTTACGTGAAAGTTATAGTGTCTACAAATGGCGGTATATATACGCTTCAATTTGTTTACTTTTTTTATACAAGCAATGGCGGCGATCAGCGACTTACAATGGGACTGCAGCGGGCATTCTGACACTGGGTGGGAACTGACTAACTTCCACTGACTTTCCCAGTGACACTGATACAGTGATCAGTGCTAATAAAAAGTACTAACACTGTACTAATAACCAGGGCGGACTGACCATTTGGGAACTCGGGCACTGCCCGGGGTCAGTAGGGGGCACCATGAGATGCCCCTGGTACCTTTTTCATAATCTTTTTTGAGTTTGGGCAAGGACACAGGGGCCCCATGAGTTGTCAGTCAACCCCTGCTAATAACACTGGGCAGGAAGGGGTTAACATCTGGGGCAATCAAAGGGTTTTAACAGTGTGCTGTGTTTGTTTTACTATTTGAGCTGTGTTTTACTAGGGAGGCATGCTGTTTTGTACCTCTCTGCTGCGCAGAGAGATACAAAGCAGCACGTCCATGCTGACAGGAGATCCGTGTTTACACACAGGTCTCTCCCCTGTCAGTTTCCACATATGATCACCAAGTGCCGGCCGGGACCCAGTGATTGACATCTCTAGCCACCAAAAGCAGCATGTGCCCCCTACCCAGAAATGATATATATATATATATACATACATACATACATACATACATACATGATTTTGCACAGCCCTACCGCAGTACTTCTGCTACAGGGCAGAGGGCAAGTGGTTAAAATGAACACCCACAGTGGTTCGCATGAACGGGGTGCGATTATTATGCGGTGCGGAAATTGCACAGAAACCAGTGCAAATTCTGCACAGCATCAGTGTGAACCCGGGCTCAAAGTAGAAGCTCCGAGCAGGCTCTTTATTACAGAAGAGACACCAGATGACTCACAGTCTTCATTAGAAAGTACACAGAGATGCGCCGTTTACATTCCAGCACAGATCCTGTGTGCCGGGATGACTTAAAGCAGAATTCCGGGAAAAATAAAAAAAATGTAGTATGTAGTGGGGCACAGCCCCCACTGCATGGGCTAACTACTCGTTTCTGTCTAGAGGTGATATGAGCAAATATAATCCGCTGAGCGTAAGACTGGTCCCTGCATGGTAGCGGTCTTATGAATGGATTGTTCCTGACGTCATCATACCCATAGACCGGCTCCGGGCATAAGGACGGCAGGAATAGTCCACCGCTGGATGCGGGGATGTGCAGTTTTTGAGAGGTTTGAAGGACAGGGTAAGTATAGCCTTTCAGGGAGGGGGGCCTGGAAAAATTGACTAGTTAACCCATGCATGAGGCCACAGCCCCACTGCATGGGACAATTTTTTTTAAAACAAAGTTCTGCTTTAACCCCTGCGAATGTGCAACACCATCTGAAAGTAGAAGATGCCGGATCAGGACATCAGACCACGAAGAGGCAAATATGGCACTTTAAATAAAAGCGTCTGGTAAACTGAGCAAAAACAACACAAGGCCAACCAGCAGAACTTCTGTGTATTTCTAAATGCTGTATTAGGCCAGGAGAACGCCTAATGTTTATAACATAGTGACTAGAGTCCTACACTTGTCTTCATGTTGTCCCAACACTTTACATGTGGAGAGATGAAGTGTGCAGAGGAGTTCATGTCTGTGCCACCAAATTCTGCAAGGAGAAGGAAGAGGCACAGACAGGACTCCCCTACACTGCACAGCTGAGCGCCGTCCTGTCCTCTCCATTAGAACACGATAACGTGCTGCTGCAACACATTTCCCGCGCAGTTATGAGAGGACCAGCTGCCTTCCTTTTATTCCACTTCAGCGTACGTACGCCCGTCCATACAACAGGCTACGTACACTCCAAGCGTCCTCTGTCCCGCCACCGCTCAATAACATCTGCCTACAGCACTCACCCGCTCCAGTAACCCCTCCGTACACAACACAACAAAATGGCGACTAGGTCTTACGTTCCAGAATCTTCCCCTGACGGAACACGGGGAACCAACCAATAGAATTTCGCTACCTTCAGGAAATGAGGCGGGGCAAGACGACAAAACCTGTAAAGGCACGGAAGAAGCAATTCGGCGACAAATAAGAAAAAGGGGGTGTTGTAAGGAAGGCGGGGTTTGGTTCGAGTTTCTTTAAACACATGGAAAAGCCTGAGGAATGTTGATTGGCTGACAGGACTGAAAGCGGTTTCTGGTTGGCTGGTGGCTGTTTGGTATTTCTGTGGTAACCCACCTAAACATATACATGCAGCTGGAGTTGCATGTGGTTTTTCCCAAAATGTATAGACTATGAGGGGAATTTACTGAGCCTGAAGATCTGGAGCAGTTGTGCTTCTAGCTTTCGTTTTAACCACTTGCTGCCCACACACACAGTACATTTACTGCTGGTGGGTGTCATCCCCAGGTACCATAACAAAGCTTTATGTCACAGGCTGAAGCTTGCTATTGGCTGACCACTCAACAGCTCCAGGCTGGGGAAAGATCCCAACTTTAATGTCGGGATCCACCCCAGAGTCTGGAGGGCACCTGGCTCAGCCCTTCAATGAGGCACTGAGAGCCTGAGTCAGCTGCTTCCTCTCCCTCCACAGCCCAGCGCTCCAGTGAGTGCAGAGCAGACAGTGATGACTGACAGTCACCGCTCTCTTCTCACAGCAGCTGTCAGAACTCAGCGATCAGCAGCCATGTGATTGCCGAGTTCTCACCCTGACCCCTGGTTCACATGTATGCAGCCGTGCAGGCCACGTTTTGCGTGGGCATGAGAGCCCATTCATTTGAATGGTCTCCCGTGCCCCACAGGGAAGAAGTCCCTGCACTACTGAAAACACAGCCCGCACATGAACCTCGGTTCCCAGTACAGTTGCGTATTCCAGTGCAGGTGGCGTTCCATTACAATTAATGGCACCTGCCCGCGGGTCCATATTCCTATGTGGGTGGTGCGGCTGCATGGATTTTCATGCAGATCCGCAGC